ACTTGTTCTTTGAGAAAATACACTAAGTGGAGGATTTCAGCTATTTATTTTTTTTTTATTATTCATATGTGCATACAAGGCTTGGGTCATTTCTCCCCCCTCCCCCCCCCTCCCTTACCACCCACTCTGCCCCCTCCATCTCCCCACCACCCCCTCAATACCCAGCAGAAACTATTTTGCCCTTATTTCTAAGCTTGTTGTAGAGAGACTATAAGCCATAATAGAAAGGAACGAGGGTTTGTGCTGGTTGAGATAAGGATAGCTATACAGGGAGTTGACTCACATTAATTTCCTGTGCGTGTGTGTTACCTTCTAGGTTAATTCTTTTTGATCTCACATTTTCTCTAGTTCCTGGTCCCCTTTCCTATTGGCCTCAGTTGCTTTTAAGGTATCTGCTTTAGTTTCTCTGTGTTAAGGGCAACAAATGCTAGCTAATTTTTTAGGTGTCTTACCTATCCTCACCCCTCCCTTGTGTGTTCTCGCTTTTATCATGTGCTCAAAGTCCAATCCCCTTGTTGTGTTTGCCCTTGATCTAATGTCCACATATGAGGGAGAACATACGATTTTTGGTCTTTTGGGCCAGGCTAACCTCACTCAGAATGATGTTCTCCAATTCCATCCATTTACCAGCGAATGATAACATTTCGTTCTTCTTCATGGCTGCATAAAATTCCATTGTGTATAGATACCACATTTTCTTAATCCATTCATCAGTGGTGGGGTATCTTGGCTGTTTCCATAACTTGGCTCTTGTGAATAGTGCCGCAATAAACATGGGTGTGCAGGTGCCTCTGGAGTAACTGTGTCCACAGTCTTTTGGGTATATCCCCAAGAGTGGTATTGCTGGATCAAATGGTAGATCAATGTCTGCTTTTTAAGTAGCCTCCAAATTTTTTCCAGAGTGGTTGTACAAGTTTACATTCCCACCAACAGTGTAAGAGGGTTCCTTTTTCCCCGCATCCTCGCCAACACCTGTTGGTGGTGGTGTTGCTAATGATGGCTATTCTAACAGGGGTGAGGTGGAATCTTAGTGTGGTTTTAATTTGCATTTCCTTTATTGCTAGAGATGGTGAGCATTTTTTCATGTGTTTTTTGGCCATTTGAATTTCTTCTTTTGAGAAAGTCTGTTTAGTTCACTTGCCCATTTCTTATTGGTTCATTAGTTTTGGGAGAATTTAGTTTTTTAAGTTCCCTATATATTCTGGTTATCAGTCCTTTGTCTGATGTATAGCTGGCAAATATTTTCTCCCACTCTGTGGGTGTTCTCTTCAGTTTAGAGACCATTTCTTTTGATGAACAGAAGCTTTTTAGCTTTATGAGTCCCATTTATCTATGCTATCTCTTAGTTGCTGTGCTGCTGGGGTTTCATTGAGAAAGTTCTTACCTATACCTACTAACTCCAGAGTATTTCCTACTCTTTCTGTATCAACTTTAGAGTTTGTGGTCTGATATTAAGATCCTTGATCCATTTTGAGTTAATATTGGTATAGGGTGATATACATGGATCTAGTTTCAGTTTTTTGCAGACTGCTAACCAGTTTTCCCAGCAGTTTTTTGTTGAAGAGGCTGCTATTTCTCCATCGTATATTTTTAGTCCTTTGTCAAAGACAAGTTGGTTATAGTTGTGTGGCTTCATATCTGGGTCCTCTATTCTGTTCCACTGGTCTTCATGTCTGTTTTTGTGCCAGTACCATGCTGTTTTTATTTTTGCTTTGTAATGTAGTTTGAAGTCAGGTATTGTGATACCTCCTGCATTGTTCTTTTGACTGAGTATTGCCTTGGCTTTCGTGGCTCTTGTGTTTCCATATAATTTACGTAGATTTTTCAATCTCTTTAATGAATGTCATTGGAATTTTGATGGGAATTGCATTAAACATGTAGATTACTTTGGGAGTATCGACATTTTTACTATGTTGATTCTACCAATCCATGAGCATGGGAGATCTCTCCACTTTGGATTTCAGCTATTTAGATGAGGACTCAGTTTTTTCTTCTATGAAAAGGGAAACTTATAAGAATCTACTTCATGGTTGTTTTTGAATATTAAATGAGAAAATTTATGGAAGTGCTTAATAGAACTTAATCCTTCCCCACCTCCAGTAAATTAAATTCATGCTCTGGCTCATATATATCTATATGTATGTATACATATGTATGTATGTATATGTAGTCTCATGTTAAGTTCGTTTTGCTCATATGAATATGTCTGTATATAATTCTGGTATTTGTAAATGACCTTTGTGTGAACAACAATGGTTAGTAGTTAAGTAATAGACTGTCAAATTAGGCTACATATATTCAGAACCTGGCCACATTACTAACTGATTGTATGCTCAGACAAATTCCTTAATTTCATTAAGCTTTTCTTTTTTGAGAAATGAAATCAGGATAGTGTTTGTTTCTCAGGGTGCTTTTGAGCATTAAATTAGCAAATATATGTAAATATACATAATATACACACACATATGTATCTTTTATATGTATACATATTATATATACTTAGGGCCCATCACAGAAGTGCTATTCACATTTTTGCATATACTGCTCTGTGAAAATACCACTTTGAAAAAAAGCATAGGGAGATTAAGTGTACTTCATAATATGCTGTGTGTAAGTTGCATTTTTCATTCAATAATGTGCTAAATAATGGACTCCGTGAAAGGTATAAGGATAAGGAATCAACAGAGCTGGGTAATATTTCTAGCTCTTAAAGGTTTTCAAATAAGGAAGTGACTTAATCAGGGTGACTGACTAGGGTAGTGATAGTAGTAGAATGTAGGTCTTCTAATTTCATTTAAAAAAAACAGACCTGTGTATTTGAATAAAGCAAATATCTCAAGTATGGGGAAATTCTTCTGTTCTCCTTTGCATTTTTACTATCCACACATTGTAATACACACCACACACTTATAAAGCACCTGAAATGTATTATTTTCTAGTAAGGATCATATTTGTCTATAGAGTACGCCATATGAAGAATAAAGGACTGAGCTGTTCAGGTATTATTAGTCTCATGGGATCTTGGTACAGTTTTCTCAGAAGTCCTTATTCAGTAAAGATCACAAAATTCTGCATTAAAAGTTGTGTTTGTAACACATAATGAAGAGTATGTGATCTTCTGGTTTTAGTTGCAAAGTTTAGAAATCCCATATGGAAGGATAGAGGCAGGTACAGGGAGAACCATGGGAGCTTATTAAAAGAGATGCCCAGAAACATCACCCCACATTTGAACTCGTGTACTTGCATGTTTAACAGTCCATGTGCCCTCATGTGTGCAGTAAAGGTGGTTAACAAGGCATGAATAGCAGAGACAACTTTTCTGACTATACACAAACTTTTTGTACCAGCAGCTGTGCTCACTATAGAGACACTGGACTGGATGACTGTAAGGTTTGTTATTCCTTGACAGCTGTTCTGTTCATCCAGTTGAAAATTTCATGAAATTTAATGCAAGTGCCATATACATTTTTCCAAATTTAACATCATTCATTCATCCTATGACCAAGGTATCCTTATTGATCAATGAAGAGTAAACATAAAACAGCTTTTTTTTAAAAAACATGTTAGCAGCACTGAACAAAGATACCAGTATGGAAGATTTTCAAATAGAGTTTAGCATGAAGGATGTTCTATATAATATTGCCAGTGTTTAGAACACAGTGAATAAAGATATGGTTATGCATGTCTGGCATAACTTATGGCCTCTGACACTGTTCAATGACTGATAATGAACAAAGTGGTGACTTTGAAGGATGCCATATGTCAAGTGAGAAAAAAGTGATGTCTCACCTTCTTATTCATGCTAAAAATACACCTTAAGAGTTGTCATAGCTGGGTGCTGGTGGCTCATACCTGCAATCCTAAGTACTCAGGAGGCAGAGATCAGGAGGATTGCAGTTCAAAGCCAGCCCAGGCAAATAGTTTGTGAGACTCTATCTTGAAAAAAAAACCTATCACAAAAAAAAAAAAAGAAAAGGGGTTCAAGGTGTAGACCCTGAGGTCAAACCCCAGTACTGCAAAAAAAAAAAAAAGAAAAAGTTGTCAGTAAGCTAGGAGAAGTGAATATAGAGGGGTTTTTGTGTGTGCATTTTTGCAGTGCCGGTGATTAGACTCAAGGTCTTGCATATGCTTATGTGCACACTATGCCACTGAGCTACCCCCCCACCCCCTAGACATTTTTAACATTGATAATGAGGCTCCATTTGTTTATTTACTGACCTATGGTAAAATAGCCAAAATCCTCTGAGTTAAGGTGAACACATTGACCTTAGATGTTAATATTGTAGACAAAATGCTTATAGACATTGTGAAAATGTTTGATAGGCTTAGTGAAGGACTAGAGCAGTTTGTATTTGTAACTAAACAAGAAATCATGTTTATAAAATCAGAGACATCAAGACAGAAGCTATGTTAGTGAGGCAAATGACTCTGGAGGAAACATTTGAAAAAGCCTCCCAACAGAATGTCTCCTTATTCCTATTTCCTGGTCCCTCAGCTGCTTCTGATGTTTCCTCTCACCTTAAAAAAATATAGCGTATGTACAATGACCTTTTAATCAGAACATGGCATCATAGATGTGAACTGAAAGCTGGTGCTGACACAAGGTTTCTGGGGATGCTGCTGTGCTGCCTGGTTACCCTGAGTGCATTACTTTTCACTGAACTACTGACCTGTCATATTTTTTACCGCCAAGTCCTTGTATTGAATAAGTATAGGAAAATGATGACTTAGTGAAAGGCATATGCGTTAGAGTCAAGATTGATTACGATGCCAAACAACTACAGGTTGTCTTCATAAGTGACTGAGGTAGCAACACCTTTGGTTTCTGATGGGTTAACGTACAGAAGCTTTGTTTCATACACAGAATTACTAAGTATAATACATTAAATCATCTTCAGACTGTGTATAAGGTATTTATCAAAATAAATACATTTTTTACCAAGTATTTCATTAGGTATATGTAAATACTCCTGAAGTCCAAAAAAATTGAAAATCTGAAACACTTGTGGTCCTAAGTATTTCATATAAAAGATACCGAATCTGAATTTTCTTTATACCTCCCCCAACCTTACAGCATTTTCCCTCAGAGAATCTTTAGCAGCTCTTATGTAATTATTTACATTTCTACTGTAAGGGTCTTAAGGGCAGAAACTCTTACTCTTTTTGGTATTGGAATTACTGTGTACAGAGCTGGGAGGATTAGTGGACAGGGGAAGGGAGAAAGGAAAGGGGTCGAGGAATATCAAAGTACCTTACATATCTATATGAAGATAGCAGAATGAAACCACCAAACACTGTTTGAAAAAGTGGGGAAGGAGGAATGGGAGAGGAAATATAGTAGAGGGGTGAACTTGTTCAATGTACAGTACACACATCTCTGGCATTATCACAATGATACTTACCCCTTTGTACTATATGCTAATAAAACAATTAAAAATTATATGACAGATAATTGTCACTAACCTGCTTACAGGATGATAAGCATGCTTGCAAGCACATAATTTAGTAATAGAAAGTTGCTTCTTTACATTGTAGGACCATTTTCCCCCAGCTTGTCTCTCGTTTGGATGGGCTAAAAAGTAAGCTGAGGCAAAATACAGTTTTAAATAGTTTATTTAATTCATGAATCAGGTGGCTCTAAGCCAGAAGTGGTTCAGGAGCTCCATGGGGGAATGCAATTGGAAGGTTTTATAGCAACAAAACAAAGGAAATATTTGATTGGTTACAGCTACACAGTTGCCTTATTTGGTCAAAAGTTCCCTGTTGAATAATTTCAAGTTTGTTGGCTGCTTTGCATTGGTTGAACTTTTAAACTCTGTTTTTCTTTAATACTGGCATTTACAAGTAGCATCTCAAGTTTCACTTACATTTGTAAATAAGACAAAGTTTAGATTATATGTATAAGGCCTACCTGGTTTTGTCTGCTCAAAGATTCTTCAGGCCTGGTCTCCATTTTTACTTTCTTTTAACAGACAGTAGTGTTTGTAACTTGCCTATACAGTTTCCCATGCAGCCACTTTAACTCTGCATTAATATGTATTCCATCCACATAGTTTCATGTAATTAATATCTATTGAAAAGATAAGCAGCCAACTTGTCCAGTGATCTCATGAATGTCATAATAGTTCACCATTTTAAAAATTAGCTTTTAGTAAAATCCTGTGTAAACTTCTGCTCTTATGAAAACTTATAGCTGTAATTTTTTTGATAGTACTAGGATTTGAACTTAGATGAAGTCTTTTTATTTTTTTTGTGGTACTGGGGTTTTGAACTCAGGGCCTCATGCTTGTTGGCAGACACTCTACCACTTGAGCTACTCCACCAGTGCAGATTTGAATTTAGGTCCTTGTGCTTTCTAGGCAAGGACAGTTGAGCCATGCCTTCAGGCCTATAAATTTTATACATTCATACATTAGTGTTATGTATATGACATAATATATATGTATATATAAATGTATAAGTGTATATATATATATATATATATATATATATATGTATGCATACACATGGGGGGCAGTATTGAGGTTGGAATTCAGTGCCTCATAATTACTAGGCATGCGCTCCACCACTTGAACCATACCCCAGCCCTCTAGTGCTGTAAATTTTTAAAGATGCTTTTTAGTGAAAAGAAAGTACAACCCAGGGAGCAAAACACACTTGTTTTAAAAGTGAGTAAAAAAAAAGAAAAAGCATCAAGAAATTGACATTGATGTAGTTCTGCACTTACTTTATCCATTTTAAATCATGACCAGTTTTCTTGTGCAAATGGGAACAACTTAGATTTTTATAATTGATTCATTAACTCAATGTGCTGTTCCCTGAATATGTGATGTGTGATTGATAATTTTCTACTGTGAGCCTACAATGATAACTTTGGCTGAGTAGGTGAACAGCATTCTGAAAATTATACCTAAAGGGGGGCGAAATTAAGTTTTTGAAGTCCCATTTGTGCATCCAATTTTAGAGACTTCGAAATATTTTCTCCCTAAAACTAAGGCAGGGTAGGGGGTGCTCATACTTTGAAGTTATTCTTACTCTGTTTTCTGCATATAAGTATTGATTTGATTTTTCTTTGTTTGATCCAAACATCTTGGACTCTGAATCCCAGTATTGGATGGATACTTAGAAATCATCTGGTGTTACTAACCAAACTATTTCATGACCTAGTGAAAATTAGAATCCAGAACTCCCAACTCTAACAGGTTTTTTACCATTGATGCTTAATTTGTGCATTTGTTTTTTAGGTGACTACACTTCAAGATGAGAAGAATTCACTGGTTTCTGAGAATGAAATGATGAATGAAAAACTTGACCAGTTGGATGGCTCATTTGATGATCCAAATACAATGGTTGCAAAAAAGTATTTTCATGCACAGTTACAACTAGAACAATTACAGGAAGAAAACTATAGGTAGTGTTTTTAGTAGAAATTATTTTATAGAGTTCTATTAGTAGCTAAAAATCACATTAACAACTAATTAGTAAGAATTAGGCATGTTTAGGACACCAATTAAGCTACTAAAAACGCCAAATGGTATAACTGGTTCCAACTGCACAGGGCTTACAGTTGTTAAACAAGTAGGATAGTACATAGAAGCAAAACAAATCAAAGATAAAGGCTAACAAGGAGCATAGGCAAACCAATAAAAGTTCAAGAGAAGGCTACCCTCAGTGGCTCGTGTATATAATCCCAGCTTCTTGGGAGGCAGAGATCATGAGGATTGCAGTTTGAGCCCAACTGTGGTTAAAAATTTAGTGAGATCCCATCTTAACCAATAAGCCAGGTGTGTTGATGCATACCTGTGATCCCAGCTAGGAGGATTGCAGTCTGAGGCCAGCCTCAGGCAAAAATGTGAGACCCTACTTGAAAAAGAACTAAAGCAAGGAAAGGGCTGGGGGCTAGGCTTAGGTGGTAGAGGACCTGCCTAGCAAGCACAGGGCCCTGAGTTCAAACCCCAGAACTGCCAAAAAAAAGGATTTTCACTTTAATGTTTCTTTTTTTTTTTTTTAAGAATTAGTTCTTTAGCAAACGTTTCTTAAGTGCTTAACCACTGAGCCTTGTACCATAACTTGAGAGCAAACTTTTCAATGATACCATTTCAGACTTGCAAAAAAAAAGTTTAAGAATACCGCAAGGAGCTCCTTTATGCCTTTTACAATTGTTTTATTGTTCTTTCCATTTGCTTTAGCGGTCTCTATGTGTTCATAAAGTTATGCAGATTTTTTCTGAATCATTTTAGACTTAAGTTGGAGTCATGCCTGTTTACCTTTTTATACATTGTCATATATCCTAAAAACAAGGAATTCTCTTATTAATCACACTACAGTGATAAAGATTATGTAAATCACAGATCATACTCAAATTCTATCACTTGTCTCAGTGCCCTTTATAGCTTTTTTTTTTCCTGCTTCAAAATCTAACCCAGGATCATACATCATAATTAGTAATGGATTCTTATCAATGAACTATAAATTCATTATTCTTATCATATATTTTGATGCCCAAATTGTCCAGAATTGGCCTGTAGGAAGCCTTTCATTTGGTCCCTGTGTCCTTTCAATATCTTACTACTCTTTGTGAACTTTTCTCCTGGCATAACAAAGTGTTCCAGACTCATTATCCTTAATGTATTACAGTTTATTCAGAGTTAGTATTTAGCTGCTTCACGTGCTATGTGCATTTTACAATAATTATCTTATGCATTTTCTCTTCGTCTTTTGAAATTAAATTTTCTGTTTTACAGATAACCTAGGCACAAGGCTTCAGAAGTGAAAATTAAAATTCAGAATGTTAATTTACTTTTCATGTGTGTTTCAGAATTAAGTGCCAGAATCTTCTCATTCCTTTAGTCTATGTTTGAATATGGAGTTTAAATATGTCATGCTAAGCTCGTCTCTCAGTAGGAAAGCAAATGATTGAAATTATAAATCCTTATTTGCTTTCTTTGTTCAAGACTTGAAGCTGCAAAAGATGATTACCGTGTTCATTGTGAAGAACTTGAAAAGCAGCTAATTGAATTTCAGCATAGGAATGATGAACTGACGAGTCTTGCTGAAGAAACAAGAGCCCTGAAAGATGAAATAGATGTTCTTAGGTATGGCATATCTAAATATAATTTATTACTTGTAAGTTATTAGCCAATTTGAGTGTTCTGTTTTAATCAGGGATTTTTCAAATTACCCCTGTATATCATATATTGGTCACTTTTTATCCAGGCTTCTAATTTTTACTTCTTTTATGCTTCTTAATTGGAATTACAGTTTAAGGGTATAAACAGCTCTTGTTAGGACAGCTTCACGTTAGAACCCATAATCCCTAAAGTGAGACTGTTTCCTTAAAATTGTGTTAATGATACATTTAGCTTGACCTTGTCCCCATTATTATATTTTGTGAAAAATTTTAGATGAGGAAATGAATTTTTCCAGTCTATATTTTGGTATCTGATAAAATAGAGATAAATATAGATTAGAATTCTTTTTTTTAAAATTTTATTCATATGTGCATACAATATTTGGGTCATTTTTCCCCCCTTCCCCCTACCCCCTTCCTTAACCCCCGCCCCTTCCCCCCTACCCCCTTGCTACCAGGCAGAAACTATTTTGCCCTTATCTCTAATTTTGTTGAAGAGAGAGTATAAGCAGTAATAGGAAGGACCAAGGGTTTTTGCTAGTTGAGATAAGGATAGCTATACAGGGAGTTGACTCGCATTGCTTTCCTGTACATGTGTTACCTTCTAAATTAACTCTTCTCGAACTAACCTTTTCTCTAGTTCTTTCATGAAAGATTGTCTTTGTCAATATAAAATCTATATTTAGTATTTGCCTATGAAATATAACCCAATGAATAAACTATCCATATGATTTTATATTTTTCTATTAATTTTTCTTAGTTAGATATTCCATGCCAGATATTTTAATACCCATTTGAAACAAAACCTTTATAGTCATTAATTTGGACCTATATGTGCTATTGAAGTGATTTGGTTTATTTTTTCATTTATCTTTGCTCCAACACAGTCTGTCAGCTAAGTACAATTCTAAAGGAACATGCTTTACTAGACAAATTTATGAGTTAAGTCAACTTTCTAAGTGTATCAAACACTGAGAATTATGCCAAAGAAATACAACAAAGCAGGGTTTTCCCATAAACTACAGAATGGCTCAGAGTTGTTCAATTATATATACAGAACTATTCTTTTTTATATACATTGTGCTAAAAATAGTTTGATGATATATCAGATTTAAGCATTTTTATTTGATGGCTTTATAACAAAAATATTGACCTTTAAATGGTTTTAGACCCAAGTCTTTGTTACATCTTGGAAGATTCATTTTACAGCCAGAATAAAATTGTCGTATGCATATACTTGTTTTTACACAGTAACACTAAGTCTTTATTATTACAGGGCTACCTCCGATAAAGCAAATAAACTGGAGTCAACAGTTGAGATATATCGTCAGAAACTTCAAGATCTAAATGACCTTCGCAAGCAGGTGAAAACTTTACAGGAAACAAACATGATGTATATGCATAACACAGTCAGCTTAGAAGAAGAATTAAAGAAGGCAAATGCTGCACGTACACAATTAGAAACATATAAAAGGCAGGTAAGAAGGTAACTTAATTTTTAAGTGATAAAATTGAAAATTTAACTTTATTATTCCATTTGATCCTTTAAGAAAGCATTGTGATTCCATTTGATCCTTTAGAAAGCATTGTGTATAATAAATTGTGAAGTTCTGATGAATTTCTTCTACCTGAATTTTAATTTAAGGGTTGATAATAGAATTTGACTTATCAGGGTCTTTTACTTTCTTTTTGCCTTTTTTTTTTTTTTTATCTCTTTTTGAGATTTGATTGTATATTAGCATTTCTGGAAATAAATGGCAAATGCCTAGAAGGTGGTAGAGAATGGAACTATAATCTAAAATATTTTCTGCCCTTTTATCCAACAACTAGAGAAACATCAGAATAGAAATCTACTTTTTAAACATTTTGGCTTAATTATTACTTGAGCTTTTTAAATTTTATGCTAATTGTTTTTATCTTATGCTCTTTTCCAAGTAAAGATAGACTGTAGTTTTAGTATAAACATTTTATTTCCAATCAGTTTCAATTAGTTAACTCTGAAAGTCTTTGAATATTATATACTGTTGATTTTTGCATTTTTTTTTCTGACAAAAGGTTCAAGACCTTCACACTAAACTTTCCTCTGAATCCAAAAGGGCAGACACTCTAGCATTTGAAATGAAGTGTCTTGAAGAAAAACATGAAGCTTTACTTAAGGAAAAAGAGGTACTCATAAATGTAGCTGATAAGGAATGTCATTCTTCATTTATCTTTTAAACTATACTTGGTCTTAGAATGGGAATGATATATTCCAGTTCTGTGTTTCTTGAAACTGAAATAGTTGGCACAAAAGAAGGTCTTATGAAACTACTATCACTTCTTCATTACACTTTAAAATGTATTTTATTTTTAATTAGCAGGTACAAATTGTCCATAATAATTGGTCTCGGTGTGATGTTTCAACACACGCATACAGTGTGTACTGATTGCATTGAGCTTTCCCTTTTCTAACTCATGCCCCTTCAGAACTTCTAATTACTACTCTATGTTTAGGTTGACTTTTTCTGCTATGCATAAGAGAGAGAACATATGTTATTTGTCTTTCTGGCTTATTTCACTTAACATAATGACCTCTAGTCACATCCATTTTCTACAAATGATATGACTTCATTTATCTTTATGGCTAAAAAATATTCCACTGTGTAGATCACGTTTTTAAAGCCATTCATCTGTTGATGGACATATAGATTGATTCTATATCTTAACTATTATAAATACTGCCACAATAAACATGGGTGTGCAGGTATCTCTTTGTTATGCTGATTTCATTTCCTTTGGATAGGTACCCAGAAGTGAGATAACTGCATCATATGGTAATCTATTTACTAGTTTTTGAGGAACCTCTATACTCTTCTCCACAGTGACTGTAATAATTTTCATTCCTTTTTTTGCTCAACCTTACCATCTCTTACCTCTTATTTATTTTTTTTTTGTTAATAGACATTCTAACTGAATGAGATGATTTCATTGTATTTTCAAATTGTATTTCCTTGATGGCTAGTGATTTTAAGCATTTTTTTCATAACTTTATTGGTTGTTTTTATTTTCTCTTTTGAGAACTATTCAGATCTTCTGCCAATTTTTAATCATTAAAGCTTTTGAGTTCCTTATATATTCTAGATACTAATCCTTTTTTAGGTCAATAGTTGGCAAATATTTTCTTCCATTCTGTGGATTGTCTCTTCACTTTGCTTTCTTAGCTAGATAAAAATGTGTTTTTTGTTTATTTGATATAATTACATTTATCTATTTTTGCTTTTGGGGGTTATACCTAGAAAATCATTTCCTATACTAGCATGTTGAGTGTTTTCCTTGTTTTTTCCTAGTAGGTTCATAGTTTAATGGCTTATGTTTAGGTCTTTAATTCAGTTTGATTTGATTTCAATGCAGCTAAGAGATGGGGGTCATTTCTTTTGTGTGTTAATATCCATTTGTCCCAATACCATTTGTTGACAAGACTGTTTTTTCCCCAGTTAATTGTCATATTTACCTTGTTATAAATCAGTTTCCTAGGATACTGTAATGATGTATTCATTTGTGAAAACTCATACCATGTACAACAAAATGAATAATAGACTAAATATAAGAGCTAAAACTAAAAACTCTTGAAAGAAAACAGAAGTAAATCTTTGTATCTCAAGTTACCCAACAGTTTCTTACATATGCCACCAAAAATCACAATCAAGAGAAGAAAAAGATAACCAGAGTTAATCAAAATGAAAAAGTGGTCCTGCAAATAATACCATAATAGAAGTGAGAAAACAACCTACAGAATATGCAGACCATATATCTGTCTTGGGATTTACATCCAGAACATGCGAAAAATTCTTACAACACAATAATAAGATGTGCAAAGTTATTAAATTACTGATTCAATCTTTTCATTTGTTATAGGTCAATAAATGAACCTGCAGCTTGTTTTTCATAAACTTTGGAAAAATTTTAGTCATTATTTATTTAAATGTTCCCCCCCCCTGTTTTTTTTCATCTTTTGGGTTTTCATTTACGTATGTTGGTAATTTGGTGTCCTACAAGACTCTGAGATTCTCTTAATTTTAATTTAATTTTTTAAACTTTGTTCCTCAGTCTGGGTAATTTTGATTAATACATTTTCAAATTCCTTTACTATTTTTTTCTCCTTCTCGTATCTGCTGCTGAGCCCATCTAGGGAATATTGCATTTATTATGCTTTTCAACTCCACAGTTCTAGTTTGTGCTTTTTGTAATTTAACTCTACTTGGTAGAGGACTCATTTCTTTAATTCTGTATACATGGTTTCTTTAGTTCTTTGAGTGTATTTGTAGTCACTCACTTAGAAGTTTTGGTCTAGTGTATCCACCTGTTAGCTCACCTCATTGGCTGTTTCAAATGACCAGTTTTTCCCCTGCATGTAGACTATCATGTTTCTTAGAATTTTTTGTATTACTGTTAAGAACCCGATGTTTGAGATAATAGTTTATGTTTGAAAATCCTGTTTATATTCAACTCAGTCTTCATATTGTTTGTTTCTCTTTTAGTGATATTTTTGGGCCTATTCTGTAAAGTCTACATTGTTTATAATGTGCAGCACTCAAGTCTCTGCTCAGTTGCCATTGTCATTAGTTCATAAATGATCTGAGATCAACTATAGATGCCTTGAACCAGTAACTCTTATAGCCTTTGTCAGAAAACTCAATATGTGTATTGAAAATTGTATCAATTCTCATACAATTTAAAATTTTAACTTTGCCCTTAATTCCTGTTGAATACTTAACAGCTGAAACATTGGGGCCGTCACAGGTCTTTTCTGAGCATGTATGTTACTCTGTCTACGGCTTGCATCTTACATCTCCAGTTACAGCTTTTCATAGTTTCCTGGGCATGCTGTTTCTCAGATCTTCCTTGAAAACTCTGCAGGCTCTTGTTTTCCCCCAACCTTCCTAACAGCTTTCAGCAGCTATGATAGTAAACAGTTGCTTATGATTGTTTTTGATATATAACTTGGAAGTACAGCTTTTCTTGCAGAACAAGTACCCAAATCCAGTCAAATAGTGAAAATCCCTGCAAAATGGGGCTGCTTCTGGGAGTTGTAGGTCAAATAATGATAGTTCTGTGAGGATGATGGAGTTTCTTTTTTAAGAGGAGTTTCCTGTTTAGTCAGCTTCTTTAATTGCTGAAGTTCCTGGCTTTTACTATGACAGTGATTGAGAAGCTGCTGGTTTTCTAAGCTACTCAAGAACAGGAGAGAAGGGAGAACAATAAGGCAAGTTAAAAAAGCTAAAAAGCTTCCTTTCTAATGAAAGCTTAGCAAGTTTACTTTAAAAAAAAAGCTTCTTGAAATATTGTAGGTCTTTGGAAATAAACATTTCCAGATTTCTAAAAATTATTAAGGACATATTTTCTAGGATTTGTATTATATTTATGGGAGAGCAGATTTGTAGAGGTCCTTGTGTCTGCCTCTAGTTGTCATTTATAGGGCATTTTTCAACTCCATTCTAAGGACTCTCTGGGGCAGTAACAAATTTACTTTTGGACTGACTTAAATCACAGAATGGGAATAGAGTTTTGTTTATTGTCTTGGAATAGAACAACATTTATGATTTTATATTCAGAAGTGCTTTTTAGTTTCTAGGAACATGAGTTAAATATAAGCTTTTTGTTTGGAAGATAAAAGTTTATCATTAGGCTCTAAAGTAAAATAGTCAGTGATATGAAGAGCTGGTATGCTGTTCTTGGGAAATGGTATTTTTCCACAAATTCATGCTTCTATGATGCTACTTACCACTTCTTCCAATAGAATTTCACAATAATGATAGGACACATAACTAGACTGTTGCAACTCTTACACACTAGCCTTTATTCTAGATACTTAATTTTACTTCATTAATTACTCAGAACACCTTTGTAAGGGTTTTTGGATTGGTATTCCCATTTTGAAAATATAGATACTAAAACCAGAAAGTTAAATAAGTTGCCCAAGTAATATAGTTAAGAAGTGGAAAAACTAAAATTCAAATTCGAATCTGTTTGCTTTCAAAGTTCATTCTCTTTGTTATGTACCTTGCACAGTTGCATATTTGTGCTGTTAAGTAATTGCATTCATTTGGTTCACAGATAAACACTATCATGTGGAAATCACAACTGCATGTTGTGTAAAGGCTATTATTTATGTGACTTATGTAAAAGAAAATGAGCCTCTTAAAACTAAACCATTTTCAATTAATCATTGTCAAACTAGAGTTATCATAAAAATAAAGAACACTACTTATGGGCAGAATTAAATACTTCTGATATTAACACTTCTTTTCTAGAGACTGATAGAGCAGCGTGATACTCTGAAAGAGACAAATGAAGAGCTTCGATGTTCACAAGCACAACAAGACCACCTAAACCAAACAGGTGAGTTTGGTTAGGTTTTTTTTTTTGATGGAACTAGGGTTTGAACTCAGGGACTTGCACTTGTGAGGCCAGTATTCTGCCACTTGAGTTAACATTTAAAAAAATTTTTTTTTGTTTTTGTTTTTTAAATAATAGAAACACTAAAACACAAATCTATTTTTTGTTTAGATTCATCTGCTACAAGAAGTTATGAGAATCTTGCTGCTGAGATTATGCCAGTGGAATACAGGTAGCTTGTTTCAATTAATTGGTAATCCAGACTTAATATTAGAAATGTCATTTCTTTTTTTGATAAATTGCTTGGCCTTTTCATTTTATTTCATGTTATGAGTCATAGAGCTAAAGCCTTTTTCTCATATGCTTATACTTTTGTAATCATATAATCATTGCTACTACAGCAGTTTAAAACTTTATCAGAAGTAAAATTTTACAAACTGGCAGAATAACATCCTAGTTTTTATAATATAACCTTTATTGCATCAAAACTATTTTTTTTCTTTTATTATTCATATGTACATACAAGGCTTGGGTCATTCTCCCCTGCCCCACCCCTCCCTTACCACCGACTCCACCCCCTCCCTCTCCCCCCCACCCCCTCAATACCCAGCAGAAACTATTTTGCCCGTATTTCTAATTCAAAACTATTTTTATACATGGCATTCAAATGTTTTCAAATGCATGGGGGTAGAAAAGAACAAAGAGAATTGCCAGATAGCAAGAGAATTGAATAGAGATAAAACAAAATACAAAGTTTACAGGGTACTCTTAACGATCTTTTTATGATTTTTGTTTTTTGATTGATGCAAAATCTTTTTTTTTTCTTTTATTTGTATGTTCATACAGTGTTCAGGTCATTTTTCCCCCCTTCCCCCCACCCCCTCCCTTACCTACTCCACCCTCTCCCTCTCCCCCCTTACCCCCGTGCTACCAGGCAGAAACTATTTTGTCCTTATCTCAAATTTTGTTAAAGAGAGAGTATAAGCAATAATAGGAAGGACCAAGGTTTTTGCTAGTTTAGATAAGGATAACTATACAGGGAGTTGACTCGCATTGCTTTCCTGTGCATGCAGGAAAATTAATTCTTCTCGAACTAACCTTTTCTCTAGTTCCTGGTCCCCTTCTCTTACTGGCTTCTGTCACTTTAAAGTATCTGCATTAGTTTCTCTCCATTGAGGGCAACAAATGCTATCTAGTTTTTTGGGTGTCTTACCTATCCTCATACCTCCCTTGTGTGCTCTCGCTTTATCATGTGATCAAAGTCCAATCCCCTTGTTGTGTTTGCCCTTGATCTAATGTCCGCATATGAGGGAGAACATACAATTTTTGGTCATTTGGCCAGGCTAACCTCACTAAGAATGATGTTCCTCAGTTCCATCCATTTACTTGCTAATGATAAGATTTCATTCTTCTTCGTGGCTGCATAAAATTCTATTGTGTAAAATACCACATTGTCTTAATTCATTCGTCAGTAGTGGGGCATCTTTGCTGTTTCCATAACTTGGCTATTGTGAATAGGGCTGCAATAAACATGGGTGTGCAGGTGGCTCTGGAGTAACCTGAGTCACATTCTTTTGGGTAAATCCCCAAGAGTGGTGTTGCTGGATCATATGGTAGATCTATGTTTAGATTTTTAAGAAGCCTCCAAATTTTTTTCCAGAGTGGTTGTACTAGTTTGCATTCCCACCAACACTGTAAAAGGGTTCCTTTTTCCCCACATCCTCGCCAACACCTTTTGTTAGTGGTGTTGCTAATGATGGCTATTGTAACAGGGGTGAGGTGGAATCTTAGTGTGGTTTTAATTTGCATTTCCTTTATTACTAGAGATGGTGAGCATTTTTTCATGTGTTTTTTTGCCATTTGAATTTCTTCTTCTGAGAAAGTTCTGTTTAGTTCACTTGCCCATTTCTTTATTGGTTCATTAATATTGGGAGAATTTAGTTTTTTAAGTTGCCTATATATTCTGTCCTTTGATGTGTAGCTGGCAAATATTTTCTCCCACTCTGTGGGTGTTCTCTTCAGTTTAAAGACCATTTCTTTTGTTGTGTAGAAGCTTTGTAGTTTTATGAAGTTCCATTTATCTATGCTATCTCTTAGTTGCTGTGCTGCTGGGATTTCATTGAGAAAGTTCTTACCTATACCTACTAACTCCAGAGTATTTCCTTCTCTTTCCTGTATCATCCTTAGAGTTTGTGGTCTCATATTAAGATTTTTGATCCATTTTGAGTTAATCTTGGTATAGGGTGATATACATGGATCTAGTTTCAGTTTTTTGCAGACTGCTAACCAGTTTTCCCAGCAGTTTTTGTTGAAGAGGCTGCTATTTTTCTCCATCGTTTAGTTTTAGCCTTTGTCAAGACAAGTTGGTTATAGTTGTGTGGCTTCATATCTGGGTCCTCTATTCTGTTCCACTGGTCTTCATGTCTGTTTTTGTGCCAGTACCATGCTGTTTTTATCATTATTGCTTTGTAATGTAGTTTGAAGTCAGGTATCGTGATACCTCCAGCATTGTTCTTTTGACTGAGTATTGCCTTGGCTATTCGTGGCCTCTTGTGTTTCCATATAACGGTAGATTTTTCAATGTCTTTAATGAATGTCATTGGAACTTTGATGAGAATTGCATTAAACATGTAGATTACTTTTGGGAGTATAGGCATTTTTACTATGTTGAGTCTACCAATCCATGAGCATGGGAGATATCTCCTCTTTCTATAGTCTTCCTCAATCTCTTTCTTCAGAAGTTTATAGTTTTCCTTATAGAGGTCATTTACAGCTTTTGTTAGGTTTACACCTAGGTATTTGATTTTTTTTGAGGCTATTGTAAATGGAATTGTTTTCATACATTCTTTTTCAGTTTGCTCATTGTTAGTGTATAGAAATGCTGATGATTTTTCCATGTTGATTTTTATATCTGCTATCTGGTATAGCTCTTGATGGTGTCTAGGAGCTTTCAAGTAGAGTTTTTTGGGTCTTTAAGGTATAGGATCAAGTTGTCTGCAAATAGGGATATTTTGACAGTTTCTTTATCTATTCGTGTTCCTTTTATTCCTTCTTCTTGCCTAATTGCTCTGGCTAGGAATTCCAGTACTAAGTTGAATAGGAATGGTGATAGTGGGCATCCTTGTCTGGCTCCTGATTTTAGAGGGAATGGTTTCAGTTTTTCACCATTAAGTATAATGCTGGCTGTAGGTTTGTCATATATAGCTGTTATAATGTTGAGGTACTTTCCTTCTAGTTTTCTTAGAGCTTTTATCATGAAATGGTGTTGGATCTTATTAAAGGCTTTTTCTTCATCTATTGAGATGATGAAGTGGTTTTTGTCTTTGCTTCTGTTAATGTGGTGTATTACATTTATTGACTTTCATATGTTGAACCACCCCTGCATTCCTGGGATGAAGCCTGCTTGGTTGTGGTGAATGATCTTTTTGATGTGCTGTTGAATTCGGTTTGCAAGTTTTTTTATTGAGGATTTTTGCATCAATGTTCATTAAGGAGACTGGCCTGTAGTTCTCCTTTTTGGAGGTGTCTTTGCCTGGTTTAGGGATAATTGTAATACTGGCTTCATAAATGTGTTAGGCAGTTTTCCTTCCCTTTCTATTTCACGGAACAGTTTAAGGAGGGTTGGTGTTAGTTCTTCTTTAAAGGTCTGATAGAATTCAGAAGAGAATCCATCAGGTCTTTTCTTTTTTGGGAGACTCTTAATTGCTGCTTCAATTTCATTTTGTGTTATAGATCTATTCAGGTGATTAATGTCCTCTTGGTCAGTTTGGGATGATCATAAGTATCTAGAAATATGTCTATTTCTTCAAGTTTTTCAAATTTATTTGAATATCGGTTCTCAAAGTAGTCTCTGATGATTTCCTGGACTTCCATGGTGTTTGTTGTTATCTCCCCTTTTGTATTTCTGATTTTACTGATTTCTGTTTTTCTCTCCTCATTTTAGTCATGTTTGCCAGGGTTCTATTGATCTTGTTTAATTTTTCAAAGAACCAACTTGTTTGTTTCATTAATTCTTTGTATGTTTTTTTTTGTTTCTATTTCATTGATTTCAGCTCTTATTTTTATTATTTCTCTCCTTCTATTTGTTTTGGGATTTGCTTGTTCTTGTTTTTCTAGAAGTTTGAGATGTATCATTAGGTCATTGAATTGAGATTTTTCAGTCTTTTCAATATATGCACTCATGGCTATAAACTTTCCTCTCAGGACTGCCTTTACTGTGTCCCGTGTGTTTTCATTTTCATTGACTTCCAGGAACCTTTTATTTTCCTCTTTTACTTCCATGACCCATTGTTCATTAAGCAATGAGTTATTCAGTTTTCAGCTTTTACATGTTTTTTGTCTTTATTTTTGTTGTTGAGTTCTAGTTTTTCTGTGTTGTGATCAGATAGAATGCATGGTATAATTTCTATTTTCTTATATTTGCTGAGGCTTGCTTTGGGCCTAGGATCATATGAGTCTATTTTGGAGAAGGTTCTGTGGCTGCTGAGAAGAATGTATATTGTGTAGAGGTTGGATTAAATGTTCTGTAGACATCAACTAGGTCCATTTGGTCTATGGTATGTTTTAGATCTGGGATTTCTTTATGATTTTTTGTTTGGATGACCTATCTATTGATGATAATGGGGTGTTAAAGTCTCCCACAACCACTGTGTTGGAGTTAATATATGCTTTTAGGTCTTTCAGGTATGTTTGATGAATTGGGTGTGGTTGACCATTGGGTGCATACGGTTGATAATTATTATTTCCTTTGTCTATTTCCCCTTTTTTAGTATGGAATGTCCTTCTTTATCTCGTTTGATCAATGTATGTTTGAAGTCTACTTTGTCAGAGATAAGTATTGCTACTCCTGCCTGTTTTGGGGGGCCATTGGCTTGGTAAATCTTCTTCCAAGCCTTTTGTCCTAAGCCTGTGCTTTTTTCTGTCGGTGAGATGGGTCTCATGTCAGCAAGAAATTGTTGGATCTTCCTTCTTAATCCAGTTTGTCAGGTGGTACGTTTTGATGGGGGAATTAAGTCCGTTAACATTAAGTGTTAGTATTGATAGGTATGTGGTGATTCCTGTCATTTAGTTGTCTTAGTTGTTTGCGGGTTTGATTGTGTATAGCTAAATCAATGTTATTCTCTCCTTTCTTGCTTTTTCTTTTCCTGTAGTTTGGTACTGCCTGCCTTTTCATGGTTATGTTGGGTTTCACTTTCTGTGTGCAGAATCCCTTGAAGAATATTTGTAGTGGTGGCTTTGTGGTCACATATTGTTTTAGTTTCTGCTTATCATGGAAGACTTTTATTGCTCCATCTATTTTGAATGATAGTTTTACTGTGTAGAGTATCCTGGGGTTGAAGTTACTTTCTTTCAGTGCCTGGAAGTCCTCACCCCAAGCTCCTCTTGCTTTTTAATGTTTCTGTTGAGAAGTCTGCTGTGATTTTGATGGGTTTACCTTTGTATGTTATTTGTTTTTTCTCTCTTACAGCCTTCAATATTCTTTTTCTAGTCTCTGTACTTGTTGTTTTAATGATAATATGCCATGAGGTAGATCTATTTTGGTCAGGTCTGTTTAGTGTTCTGGAGGCCTCCTGCACCTGTATGGGCATGGATTTCTCTAGATTTGGGAAATTTTCTGTTATTATTTTGTTGAATATATTACACATTCCCTTTGCTTGCACCTCTTCTCCTTCTTCAATGCCCATGATTCTCAGGTTTGGTCTTTTGATGGAGTCAGTGAGTTCTTGCATTTTCTTTTCACAGGTCTTGAGTTTTTAATAGTTCTTTGGTTTTTCCTTTAATTACCATTTTCTTTGAGTTCTGAGATTCTATTTTCTGCTTGTTCTATTCTGCTGGATTGGCCCTCCATTTTGTTTTGCATTTCTGTTTTGTTCTTTTTTCTGAGGTTTTCCATATCCTGAGCCGCTTCCTCTTTAATATTGTCTATTTTCGTTCTGAGTTCATTTATTGCTTTATTAATCGTGTTCTTTGTTGCACTTTTGTGTTTATACAGTGCTTCTATAGTTTCTTTTATTTGGTCTTGTGCTTTCTCAAATTCTCTATTTTTGTTGTCTTGGAATTTCTTGAGTGTCTCCTGTACATTTTGGTTGACCCTATCCAGTATCATCTCTATAAAATTCTAATTGATTATTTGCAGGATGTCCTCTTTCAGGGCATTCTTGTGGGCTTTGGGTTCTTTGGCGTAGTTTATCTTCGTTTTGTTGGAGTCTGGATCTGGGTATCTGTTTCCTTCATTTACCTCTGGTTCCTGTACTAATTTATTATTATGGGGAAAGTGATTTCCCTGTTTTTTCCATCTTCCCATCATTGCCCTTGCTATTGTTACTGTCCCGGTACTGTGTTTAATTCAGTATTGTCTAGCTTGTAATAATAACAATGGTGATATCTAGAATGGAAGGGTGAGAGGAGAGGGAAAGCAAAGAATGTAAAGAAAAAGGGGGCAAAATAAACCAACTAAAACAAACACACACACACAAAACAACCCCAGAGCCAAAGAAATAAACAGGGAGAGATAGTGTACTAATCAACGGTGAGCTATACAGGCATTAGAGAGACAGAGAGAGGATAATAAAACAGAAAAAAGAAAGAAAGCAAAATTCCACAAATACTAAATAACATTCTAATTTTATACCTTGACTTTTCTTGATAGATGGTAAGATCATTTTCTGTGTTATAAAAAGAAACTTTTTGTCAGCTGGGTTTCAGTGGCCCACTCCTATAATCCTAGCTATTTGGGAGGATGAGATCAGGAGGAATGTGATTTGAGGCCAGCCTGGGCAAAAAGTTCATGAGACCCCCATCTCAACCAATCTAGCTGGGTGTGGTGGTGCTTATCCTTTGTTCCAGCTACACAGGAGGCTATAAGATTGGAAGTACCATGGTTCTAAAGCAAGCCCCAGCAAAAAAGTCCATGCGACCCCATCTCAACAGAAAAAAGCTGGACATTGTGGTTCGTACCTGTCGTCCCAGCAACAGTGTCAGGAAACATAAAGTAGGAGGCTTTCAGTCTGGGCTGGCCAGGGCAAAAAGGACACCCTGTCTCCAAAATAACCAGAGCAAAATGGGATGGAGATGTAGCTGAAGTGTTAGAGCATCTGCTTCACAAGTGCAAAGCCCTGAGTTCACATCCCATTAACATCAAAAAAGAAAATAAACTTCCTGCCTAAAGTTCATATAACACAAAGTTGCTTTAACTTTAGAGGTTTAACTGTCATTTAAAGTTATAAAAATGTTAGAAAACATAACATACTTCTGAAGAAGGAAGTAGATGTCTAAAGTGAGAGCTTTCTTAGTGAGGAGTTAATCATTACACTAAAATTAATAATTTTAAAAAGAGCCATCTGAACGTGTGTATTATAGTTATGCTGCTGCCATTTAGTAGAACAAAAGGTGGGGTTGAAATTAGTTGCTTTGGGAGAATGAGATTTTGGAAGGAAGCAAACAGTAGTATTTTTCTATTTAATATGAAATAAAAATCTGCAGTTGCATTTTAATATGGAATTACATTTTTAAAATGTGTATGTAAATCTTTAATAAATTTTTTAAAAAGTGGTGGAGTGGCTCAGTTGGTAGATTGCCTATCTAGCAAGCATGAGGCCCTGAGTTCAAACCCAGTAGTGAAAAAATAAAAGAACAAATTTTAAAAAGATCTAGATACCATGTCTGATTACCATAATTAAAGCATATTTAAAAATTTAAGTAAATCAGTTTCTTACATTTATTATACTTTATTTATATAATTTCTAAGATTATGTGTTTTTTCACGAATAGTTCTTAATTACCAAAGTAAAATCATTCATATTATCTATGGGTTTGCATAGCAATCATTTAATTATACATAGCATAATCCTGTATTGTTGCCTTTAGCAATTTTCTACTTGCTTTTGAGGCATAGTCTTTTAGTGTACGTAATTTTTTTCTTAAAAACTTTCAGGAGTTTTGATTATATTTTAAAATGGTAACTATTGAGTGGATGGAATTGCCTTTTTAAAAAAGAATATAGTAACATGTATCGTAAAAATAAAAACAAAATTGCTTTTCTATATCAGGGAAGTGTTCATTCGTCTGCAGCATGAAAACAAGATGCTTCGCTTGCAGCAGGAAGGGACTGAGAATGAACGCATCGAAGAGCTGCAGGAGCAGCTAGAGCAGAAGCATCGCAAGATGAATGAACTGGAAACTGAGCAAAGGTGACTGCTTCTTTCTCATCAGAAATCATGGATGTGAGGGCAATCTGCCTGCAACATCTGTGACCCCATTGATCGCCACAGTTGATTTGGCTGATCTAGCTGGCTAGGCGGGTGTCCCCTTCCTCCCTCACCACTCCATGTGTGTCCTTCCTGAAGCTGCACGCTTGGTTGAAAAGGATGACCATCCCCTTTGGTCAAGGGTACACGACTAGCTTCATTCCCCTGCTAGAACCTCCAAACAAGCTCTCATCAGAAATCATGTTATTTAGTTACCTACCCATGAAATGGAAAATATCATTGCACTATTTAAAGTAGTTAGCATTACCTCCAAATAGTTTGGAATTTTTTTGTTAGTAGTCTCTCACCACTGTAAAGCTTTCCTTTGTGAAAGAAGTCAGGTAATGTATTTCAACCATATTATTATAAAATATATAGATGATCCATTAATTTGAATGGACTTGTTTAAGCAGGTTGCTTATTCTTTAATTTCATTAGATATAAATTTAACAAAGGAATAAATCACTGTTTGGCTACTTTTGTGATCAGGTGCATAGAAGGGACAGAGATTATGGAATCAAATTTGAATCACACTTCTGCTTCAACTCATTAACTGTGTGAGGGGAAGTTACTTAAACTCACTGTCTTTAGCAATAAATACAGAAGATTCCAGATAATACACTTAAAACAAATGGTGCCATTTTCTGGTACCAGTGAGGTGTTCAAAATTAGTACAATAATAAAAATAAATGGTATTTATATAGTGCTTACTATATACCAGGTACTTTTCTAAGCACTTTTTGGTACTAACTCAGTAAATCGCACACTAATTCTATGAAGTGTAGTGAGACTGATTACATCTTCTCTGTGATAAGGAAACTGAGATATAGAGAGGTTGAGTAACTTAAAGTTATATATATATTATAAGTTCTGGGTTCTGGATTCTATATTTGAAGCTTCTGTCAGTCTTATTCCTGAGTATCTACACTTCACCACAATGCTAACCTGCCTCTTATTAATGGTACACTTACCATAAGGGAATTTTGCTTTACTTATCCAATCTTTATTGACTCTTAGAGACCACTGGAAATTTTAGATGCTTGAATCTTCTCAAACTTTTATGGTACACTTTTACATCAACTGTGGGTTAAAGAAGAGTAACATTTTAGCTTTGTGAAGAGACCATTAAATATTACTGTCTTGTTAATACTGAAGATACTAAGTTTCAACTTTTAGAAAATTGACATATAATGATAGACATGTGAGTATCTAGTGATAACTGCAACAGTAGGGTATTATAATGAGCAGGAGTGTGTGTTAACCTATGTACATCTGTGTGTGTGCATGTATATGTGGATGAAAAGGAGAAATAATAACTTGCTGGTAAATTCTAGTGGATAACTCTAAAGCAGTTTAAAAAGAGTGGGATTTTGCCAAGTTAAATTATATACTAGCTGCTAGTGTGGATCTGTTTAATTTGAATCAAAAGTCATGAAGAACTGCTTGGAAAAGTTGGCCTTCCTCTTATCCCAGTTAACTGATATTTGAAACAAAAAAAGGAAGCCTAGTTTCCATTCATTAAAAATACAGCTGGTTTTCTAATATTTCTACTTGTGAGTACAGTGTAGGAATGATATGTTTTTGCCTTAAAAGATTTGGGCATTTATGCTTGTGGGGGAGAAAAGGTCTTTCTATAAAGCATTTCCTTAGAAATGTGTTATACATATCACAGCTACCCACAGGTAATTGTGCTGCACTTGTTATTGCTACCAAATGTGTATTCTTAAATTATACAAATGCACCTTTATTGATTCCTAACTGCTTTTACTTTAAGTGGAAATAAATGCATAGTAACTCATCTTACAATAGGCTAAGCAAAGAACGTATCAGAGAATTGCAGCAGCAGATAGAGGACCTCCAGAAGTCTTTACAGGAACATGGCTCCAAATCTGAAGGTGAAAGTGTAAGTAAATTAGAACATAGAATAATTCTGCTGTTATGGATTCTCTGTAATAGTTTGTGATGCCCAAATTAATCTTGCATTTGAAAGTACTACCCTTATCATCGAGGTACCCTTGAATACCGTATATATCTGCATAACAGATGCAGTGATTTTGCCAACATGGACCCTGTAGCTTAATCATGTATTTCCTATAATGACTTATATCTGTCCTACTTCAACGGTTACACCTAAGTTCCTGGTAACTCTTGATTGAAATTATAGAACACCCGAGGCCTTCATGGTTCTGATGGGATTCTCACGGGAAGTCCAAATGAGAATAATCAGCAAAATTGAGGAAACCATCCTATAGGAAAATAGAGAATAAATCGTGATTTTGACCAAAACACTTTTCCAGAAATGTATCACACTGACATCTGATGGGCAGAATATCAGTACAGTTTTGAAGACATCAGCTCATATTTCTTCCCCCCTTACACATGGATTCATCCTTTGAAAAGAGTGTGAGGGCAGAGATAAAAGGACTTAAAAGAGACTAAATGTAGCCTAAATTTCAATATATTTAGCAAATTTTCTATATAGTCTGATCTCTATGTGGGGAAGAAAAGAATGCTGAGAGATGTATTTAATTAAAAACAACAAAATGGCAGGACTGAATGTGTTCAAAGAGATATTGATTGATTCAGATTAGATAGGATGGTGGGTATTGATGGGGAAGGAAACTGCAGAGTAAGTAGAGATGAAAAGAAAGATTGAAAGGGTTGCATTTCCTTTCTGTCTTTTATATACTTTATGTGATTTTCTCTTTTTTCCCTGGGGGCTTGGAACATAGAAATCGTCTCATGCATGGCGGCATCTCATATGCGCATATATACGGTATTGTACCCTCTCTAATACACATATTTTTAAGCCACATTATGGAATACTTTTTAAATAGCATCTGTTTGTGGGATTCCATTTTGGATGGCAGTTTTTAAAAGATCAAATTATATTTCAGATTATGTATTTTAAACTTTGCAGGTATTCATTTGATGCAGAATTACTCCTACAATTTAAAGTACTGTGTTTTGTTTGTTTTTTAAGACAAAGTCTCACTATATATCCCAGGTTGTCTTTTTTGCCTCAAGCTCCCAATTGGGATTGCAGGTATGGGCCATCATATGCAACGAAAATATTGTTTTAAAGGGGGAATTTTATATTTTAAATTTGTTCTCATGACAAAATCCAGTTGCTTGACTTGGGTGTTAAAGTGCTTGGATTTATAATCATAAAACTTTATTATAAACATAAACCTTAACATAAATAATTCTGAATAAATGATTCGTTAGATATTTAAATGTTTGATACTCCTCAGTATATCTCATTCAGCTTGCATTGTTCTTCTAGTCCAAATTTAATTGTTACTGTGTTAGAAAATAAGAGATTATTTTTCTTACTGTTACCATATTCTTTCTTATTTCATTTCTTATTCTTCCCTTTTCCTTTTCATGTAAGAAAACATGCATAAAATTTATGCTTTTGAAAGTATTCTATTAAAATACAGAATTTAAAAGCATTTGTAATTTTACATAGTACACCTTCAAAAGGAGCTAAAGAGATTTAAATGTCTGGAAATTTACCTTTGTCAAGATAGTCATCTTACAGCAACTTTTTTTAATTTTATAGTCCAGCAAACTAAAGCAGAAGTTGGAAGCTCATATGTAAGTAATACTGATGTTTCATTTCAAATATGAGAGGCCAAGGATCATAGAGGCTTCTGGAATTAATGTCATTTTCTGCCTTGGTGAATGTCAGCACACACCCTGATACTGACTGAATAGTCACTGCCACCAGAGTGAAAAGCAAATATGCTCTGTGGTTAAGCCTGCCTGGCAGCCATCCCAAACGCCTGCATTTTTTAATTGCTAGTATCATTTGAAGAGTTTAACAAAATAAACTACTACTACAACTAGATTCTATGGGTGTTAAACCTATAAGATATTTCCTTTTACTTTTTTAGGAAATGAGGATAATAAGGAAAAAAATGTTTAAAAGTTAACATTTTTGGTACCCACTATGTGGGTACCAAATTACAAGCAGTTTCATCTTCATCACAATTCGTATGGTTTAGTAAGGGATAATTCCTATTTCACAGGCAAGGAAACTAAAGATGAGACAGTAACTTACTAAAAGTCCACAAATGTTGTATAGCAGAGACCAGTTTTCATCTTTAGGTATATTTGACTTCAAGCTTCATGCTCTTTCCACTACTTAGGGAAAAACTAACAGAGGTCCATGAAGAATTGCAGAAGAAACAAGAGCTCATTGAAGATCTTCAACCAGATATAAGTCAAAATGGTAGGTATGTGTAAAAATTGGGATTGGAGTCTAAGGACCTGCCCTTTTTAGTTAAACAATGAAAAACTATGTACAAATCTTTGCACAATGTGTTGGTACATATATTGCAAGTAAAAATCATGCTAATTTTTAGAGCTGAGTTTTTAAAAAATGCTATCTGATCTTAAAGCAAAAAAATGTAAATTTAGTAAAATCAACTGATTGATATACAGGAGTATCAAACATTGTAAAATGTTGTAGAATTAATATTACAGAAATACAAATAAATAATTTCAAGCCAGATTCAAATGAACTTCAAAGCATACAGAATAATGCCTTCTTTTCTCTTATTATGGTAGTGCTTATATTGGAAGATATATTTGCTTATTTTAATGGTTGATAGAAGGAAGAAAAATAGTAGATAAAATAGATTATAGACAATGAATGATCAAGGGTCTATTGGTTGGTCATTCAAAAGTTTTAGATAAGAATTTATTACCAAGAAGAAATGAAGTTTCTCTTTTAAGTTCTCTTACCAATCTTTGGAAAATTAAGTTAGATAAATACAGTTTTTGTGTGAGAATGGAATAGTCTAAATAGGTAATAATTATTTATGTTTCATTTTATTTTCACTTATAGTCCAAAAGATCAGTGAACTTGAAGCTGCTCTTCAGAAGAAAGATGAAGATATGAAAGCAATGGAGGAACGATACAAAATGTACCTGGAGAAGGCCAGAAATGTGAGTGATACACCTTCCAGAGCTCAAGCCTTTGTAGCCCATGTACCAGTCAGTTCTTTCTGACTATACTGCTGTAGTTGTGTCTATCTAGTCACTGCTCTTCACTGCCTTCCCTGTCGGGTGTCTCCTTGTTCAGGCCTCATATTCTCAGTCTCACTCACTAGCGTCAGGTAGAACAAACACATTACTTATAGGGACAACTTCTACTTTGACATAGTGATCTCATTAGGGAGAGTCACCCCTATGGTACATGGAACTTTTAGCTCTTAGCAAAATGAACCTATAATTTATATTTGTTAATAATAAAATTTGCTAGAATCCTAGCAAAATTAACACAATACGCTTCATGGATACTTAGCTTTTAAAACTTGCTTGAAGTTATTTGTCTATTTTTTTGAAGTTAGGGTCTTGCTATGTAGCCCCACCAGCCTCAAATGCTTTTACCCTTTACACAGTTAAACTCCATCTGATATTCACCAAACTAAAGTCTTCTTTTCCCTTATTTTATACTTTTTCTTAAGTATCTGTTCTCATAAAATCTTATCTTCACAGCTACTGTGTATACATACTCTCTGCGAGAGTGTTAATGTGCACTTACCTATTTACTGAATTAAAAAAAAGAAATTTTATGGTGCAGCTTTAAATTTTACAGCAGTATGTTTGCCTTTTTTATCCTTAAGTTTCATATAATCTTTGCTAATGAAGGTGTATAGTACATGCAGCAAAAGATGAACCCAAGATTCCAAGGAAGTTTACTTCCTGATCATACTATGTCCAGTCATGAGTAAGGAAGATACTCTGTTCCATACAGTCTTTCAGAGCCCCAAGCTGACAGATGTTCTGCCTTCTTCAAGTAAAGGGTCTCTGGTTCACTTAACACTGTCCAACTAATAAGTAGAAAAGATAATATAGATTGCTTGGGAGATAAGTAATGGGTCAGGCCTGGAAACAGCAAAAAATCATTTTCATTCCCATTTCAGTGGCAGAACTCAGATATGTGGCCACACCCAGCTTCTTGGGAGGCAGAGAAATATAGCATAACTATGTATGCTATATATGTATAGCATAACTGGAATGAAAAGAAATAGGCTTGGTAAACATGCATGTGTCTGCCACAGTTAAGTTTCTTCCAGTTACAAAAATATTAATGCTTATAAAAGTATGGAAAGATCATCAGAGACGATTGCTATTAACATTTTGGTGTATTTTCTTAACAGTGCATTTTTTTTTTTTATTTTATTTTAATTTTTTTTTCATTTTTCTTTTATTATTCATATGTGCATACAAGGCTTGGTTCATTTCACCCCCCCTGCCCCCACCCCCTCCCTTACCACCCACTCTGCCCCCTCCCTCTCCCCCCCACCCCCTCAATACCCAGCAGAAACTATTTTGCCCTTATTTCTAATTTTGTTGTAGAGAGAGTATAAGCAATAATAGGAAGGAACAAGGGTTTTTGCTGGTTGAGATAAGGATAGCTATACAGGGCATTGACTCACATTGATTTCCTGTGCGTGGGTGTTACCTTCTAGGTTAATTCTTTTTGATCTAACCTTTTCTCTAGTCCTGTCCCTTTTCCTATTGGCCTCAGTTGCTTTAAGGTATCTGCTTTAGTTTCTCTGCATTAAGGGCAACAAATGCTAGCTAGTTTTTTAGGTGTCTTACCTATCCTCACCCTCCCTTGTGTGCTCTCGCTTTTATCATGTGTTCATAGTCCAATCCCTTGTTGTGTTTGCCCTTGATCTAATGTCCACATATGAGGGAGAACATACGATTTTTGGTCTTTTGGGCCAGGCTAACCTCACTCAGAATGATGTTCTCCAATTCCATCCATTTACCAGCGAATGATAACATTTCATTCTTCTTCATGGCTGCATAAAATTCCATTGTGTATAGATACCACATTTTCTTAATCCATTCATCACTGGTGGGGTATCTTGGCTGTTTCCATAACTTGGCTATTGTGAATAGTGCCGCAATAAACATGGGTGTGCAGGTGCCTCTGAGTAACCTGTGTCACAGTCTTTTGGGTATATCCCCAAGAGTGGTATTTACTGGATCAAATGGTAGATCGATGTCCAGCTTTTTAAGTAGCCTCCAAATTTTTTTCCAGAGTGGTTGTACTAGTCTACATTCCCACCAACAGTGTAAGAGGGTTCCTTTTCCCCCGCATCCTCGCCAACACCTTAACAGTGCATTTTTTATACATTTTTCTTTGTCACTAGTAATTACAATATACACACATGCGCGATTATATATGCATATATGTTGCATACACTTTAAAACTTAACCATTTTCTCATGTTATACATAAACATAATTTTAATATTCATTGAGCACATACTATACTAAAAACTGGGGCGATAGCGTTGGACAAGACAGACACTATACTTACAGAGCAGACTCTGCCAAAGTAAAATAATGCCCACATGATATTCAGCTGCATGAGATAGAACAGTTTCCTTAATTATCCTGTTGTTAGAAATCATTTATTTGCATTTCCTTTTCATTCTTCACTCTTAGAAATAAGACTATAGATGACATACTTATACAGAAAGCTTTCCTTTATTCTGGTCAATTATGTTAATTTTGTTTCCTGGGAATGAAATTATTGGGTCAAAAGATAAGACTCTGAATAAGATACTCAATGTATATCACTAAAATGATTAGAACATTCTAAAAGGATTATAAATAATTGAAGAGAGCAGTGACAATGAACACCTTTATTCTTGCCATCATTGAGTATAATTTATTTAAAAGCAATTGGATTGCTTCAATAAACATGAGTTCTTTTTTTCTTCTTACATTACCTGGGGGGACATGTTAAAAGACTGGTTAAAATAACATGTCCATTGTAGAAAATTCAGAATATATTTTAATTCACAGCCACACTTTTTATCACTTAGACATAATATTATGATTTATTCTTCATAATTAAATTATGATTTAGTTCTTTAATGTGTTATATTTTTATGATGAGAACTACTTGAGGGCAGGCACTATGTCTCTGGTAACTTGCTAGATCCCCAGCTTCCACTATATCCATCACAGAATTGACACTCAGCAAATCAGTTTGGAATTCATGAACCCCAGTAATAATTTGGTATCCCACCTTTCATTCTTTTTCTTCTGTAAACGTAGACAGTATTTTCTTAACTCATTAAATAATTTTAAACCTTTAAAATAGATTTATATATTGCTGCATACAGATATCCTTATTATTAGAAAATTTTAGTGGTAAATGGATGGAATTGGAGAACATTATTCTGAGTGAGGTTAGCCTGGCCCAAAAGACCAAAAATCGTATGTTCTCCCTCATATGTGGACATTAGATCAAGGGCAAACACAACAAGGGGATTGGACTATGAGCACATGATAAAAGCGAGAGCACACAAGGGAGGGGTGAGGATAGGTAAGACACCTAAAAAACTAGCTAGCATTTGTTGCCCTTAATGCAGAGAAACTAAAGCAGATACCTTAAAGCAACTGAGGCCAATAGGAAAAGGGGAACAGGTACTAAGAAGAAGAGGTTAGATCAAAAAGAATTAACCTAGAAGGTAACACCCACGCACAGGAAATCAATGTGAGTCAATGCCCTGTATAGCTATCCTTATCTCAACCAGCAAAAACCCTTGTTCCTTCCTATTATTGCTTATACTCTCTCTACAACAAAATTAGAAATAAGGGCAAAATAGTTTCTGCTGGGTATTGAGGGGGGGGAGAGGGAGGGGGCGGAGTGTGTGGTAAGGGAGGGGGTGGGGGCAGGGGGGAGAAATGAACCAAGCCTTGTATGCACATATGAATAATAAAAGAAAAAAAAAAAAGAAAATTTTAGTATTTGCTTACAATTTTTATACTTGATTTTTCCAAATTGGTTTCCTAATAGAATGCTATGTACATAACTTATCTAAATCTTTTTTTGTTGTATTTTAACTTGGAAATTTTTTATTAATTGCTTAATCTAAATAAGAATTCTTAGTATCCATAGGTAATGCAGAATACAATATAATTTATTCTGTTTTGTACTTCACAGTCACAAGGATGATATCCATGTGATAATTATAAAGACTATAGTTTTGAGTTCTCAGTTCCAACATAGGCTAGGTCACTTTATTGCTGGCAACATTTATGGAAGGGCCAGGTTCCTCATAGCAACAGTAAGTTTGATTAGGAGCTGGGCAGTGCTATACTTGCACATCAACAGAATTGTAAGGAGTCAAAAGGCAGTTGCTTTTTTAAAAACCTTTTAAAATAGTAAAGGAACAATAAAAAGATTGGATGACTGGTGAGTGGCCCCACATTAGCGTGTATAGCTCATCAGGATTAAGGCTGACATCTGAACAGTTAACTTCCTAAGAGCACACAGCAGGCATTATATCATCTGCATTATGAACTTTACCCTGGAGTATTTAGAGATACTTTATGCTCAAATGACAGCCTATAGATGACAGTATGAATTCCTTCTCCTTGAGTACCCAATTATAAATCTAAAATGATAAGAGGGAGCTTACTCAATCTGAATGCAGGAAAATCCTTGCAGCAGTGTTCCCAGAATTTCATAAAAATAAATCAAAGCTTCTTGGCCTTTTGAAGTTTCATTTCTTCTTCTTCACATCTCATTTTCTCTAAGTCCTCTTGCATACCTAGTCTTAAACTCTTTGCTTCTTCCTTTTGCTGTTCTTTCCAACTACTCTCCATGTAATGTAAGGTAGAATCATTTTCATCTTTGTATTGTTTTCGGTCATAGCCACAGATTTCCTAAATGTGTTTGGATATTTCTTCCTGAAGCTCCCTTCATCTTCGATAAAATCATCCATTTCAGAGTCATATTCAGCCTCATCATCATCTTCATATTCTTGCTGCCTTTTGTAACCAGTAGGGAAGGGGTAAGCCATTGAGGATCTTGGGCAGATCTGTAGCCAGATAGAAGAGGCCTCATTCCATTCATCTGTCCATTGTTGGACCAGATAATAATATTCTTAGAAGAAATTGTCTCTGAGACGACAGTACACTTGGGCTTTGTGGGGTTACCTGGGTTACTAACTGTTCACCAGGTCCTAAGCAGCTAACTGGTCTTCCAGGACCTGAAATACCGACAGTTTGTCTAGCTGTTACTGAGCCACTTACGGAATTTCCTAGGGCTATTGACTGATTGCCCAGGGGGCCTGAGCCACTCACTGGTCATTGAAGGTTATGTGGACTGCTTATAGACCTCCCAGGGCCTCCAGAGTTGCCCACAGGTCTCCCAGAACTACCTGAGCCACTGATAGGTCATCCAGGGCCATTTGAGCTGCTTGCAGGTCATACAGGGCCTCTTATACCACAGACTGTCTTCCTAGAGGGATGTGTGTCACTGGCTAGCTTCTTGGTCCCACTGACCTCAGGTCCTGAGCTGGAGCTACCATTCTGGCACCTGAGTACAGGGCTGAGTAATTCCTATGCTGGGTCACCCAGGGGCTGAGCTTGAGTTACTACCTAGCTGCCTGATACCTGGACTCTTAAGCCTTATTGTGTGGGGTAACATCAGCCCAGACTAGGGTGGAAAGGAGATTTTTTGGCTTTGTGCTCAGTAGCAGATTTCTGAGTCCCACTAACAGAAGTCTTTGGGACACTTGGTGAATAGGTGCTGGAGTGGGGCTTTCTAGCCCCACTGAAAACAGGTCTGTCATGACCCTCACGAAGTAAGGGTTGGAAGCTATTGCAAGATCCTGCCTCGGTCCTCTCTCCTGGTATGAATTTGAATGAAGACAAAGCTGAGTGTTTCTCATTGGCTGAGATGGGTTTGGATTTCTTCTCAGCATGAGGAAAGGGTACTCCCTTAGAAGGATGCCTGTCCCCAGAACCTTTGCTAGGTTCTGTGCCCACACTTTCTTTCTGAAAGGGTACCTTTGTGGACACAGTTGGAGGTAGTTTTGCATCTGTCTCAAGTTTCTTTTTCCCTTGCAGTCATAGGCCGCTCTTCTGATTTCTTCACTACCTTGATCTCCACTGGCTCAAACTGCTTTTTCTCAGCCAGCCTCAGGAAATGGGTGAAGTTCATGGGTGGTGGGGCACTTACTTTTAAGGGGGAACCTTTGGGTTTCTTTCAGCTTTGGGAGGTTCTTGCTCTTCTTCATACTCCTGCTCTGACTCTGCTTGATTGCATTCAAAGAGTTCATTCTCTTCCTCCACCTCATAGTCTCGGTCTGCACCTGCCTAGTGTGGTTTTCTACTGCCTGCCTCTTTGACTTTTCCTCAGTAGGAATCCCATTGTAACCATGGAAATTATCTTTAGTCCTCTTGGCCAAAGCTCTTGCTTTCTTGTCGTGTTTGAGCACTTCGCTTCTTCACTAGTTCTTCCTTTCTCCTTTTTTCTTCTAAAGCTTTTCGTCTCAGCTCCTCTTCTTTCCTTCTAAGAAAAGCTTGTGTGGCTGCTGATTGAATACCTTTAAACTTTTGAGTCTTTCTTGGAGGCCCCACTGCTAAACTATACCTTTTCTGTACATTGTTGACACCTTGTCCTTTGGAAGCTATCAGGAGAATTTCCCTGAAGTCCTTGTTTGGCAGAGGAGGAGAGACCAAATCAGGCACTCTGAAAGGAATGAAAGCATGCCTTGCCCAGGCGCCCAACTACACTGTGTCTAAATCTTTATTCTATAGTCTTATCAGACATTTATTTTTACCCAGCTTTTGGTAATTTACATAAAAATGGTGGAGCAGATAAAGTCATAAGTGTCTGTTATATCTGATTTTAAAAACCCACCCACATTTCAATCATACATGCCATTCCCGCCCACACCACCCACACACCGTCCACTCCGCGCACGCCCCCGCACCCGCCCGCCGGCGCGCCCGCAGTAGCTCTAGCGCTATTGAAATTTTATGCTGATAACATTTAAGTAGATAATGATAGTAAAAAAAGATTATTGCTAAGAATTTCTTTTACACTTCTACTTTGTAAAATCAAGTTCTCATGTATGTAGGTGGAAAAATGAGACCTGCTGAAACTATTCCAGAAATGGGGATAGGAGACAAAGGAGAATGATGGAGGGGGTGAATTCAACTATGATATGTTATAAGAACTTCCATAAATGTCACAATGTACCCCCAGTACAACAGTAATAATAAATAAATAAGTAATGTGAAAGGGTTATTTCAAGACCTCAGTGTTCAAAGTTAGAGCAACAAAAAGGCTAAATAACTGTTCCTGTGTAGTGAGCCTTAGAAAAGTGAAATTTTATTTTGGAAGAAGGTTTTTCCCTTTTTTTGTACTGAATTTTTATACCATTTCATTTTTTGTAGGATAAGTTATTTTTGTTATTGCAGTTAAATTTTAAACAAGCTACAGTTAGTGCCTGGATGACTTTATTTACAGTTTTATAGACTATGTTCTTATATTCTTAATACTTTAAAAGATAAAGTAATCAGAATTTCTTTTTCTTCAAACAGGTAATAAAAACTTTAGATCCCAAGTTAAATCCAGCATCTGCTGAAATAATGCTACTTAGAAAGCAGTTGGCAGAGAAAGAGAGAAGAATTGAGATTCTGGAGGTAAAACTTCCATATTCTCTCATTTCTTAATTATTCTGTGGAGTCCTGGTAACTAACTGCTGTCATATATTTGCCATTAATGATCAAGTTTCTCTGCTTCCCAGAGAAAGCCAATGAGAATGTACACCTGTGCAAGTTTTTTTTTTGAAGTAGGTCCCTAAAAAGTGTGATGACAAAATAGTGTCTCTAACTGTAGGACTCAGAAAAAAATTCAGTTAAGTCACATCATATGGGTGCTTAATATTTGTGTATTCATCTGTACACACACTGCAAAAGAAAAAAAGAGAACCAGAATGTGAACAGCAAATGACAGTCTATCTGATATTCCTCTAAGGCTTTCTGTGCCTCCGGCACAGAGGACATTTCCTCCTTCCTGTGAACTTGGTTCCTATGTGCTTTCTGTAAGTGTCCCAAGATTAGAACTGCTTTATAAGAATCACCTATATGTGGTCCTAAACAGAATTACAATATTAGCAGTATTAGATTAAGAAGAGGATGTCAGTCTCTACAGTGTTACATAAATATGAATCTAGTATACAGACCAACAGGAATCGAGAGAGGGAGAGAGAGAAATTTGTGCTAAGGATTTCTGGTGATTTTAAAGTGGTTTCCCAGTAGTTGTTTTACTGCATCCTTGTACTCCTTCGTTGTGGATCCTCAATAGCTAGAGCTCTGTTTTAATACCTAATCAAGTTTCTTTTTTTTCAAAATATGGTGGACAGTAGCATAAGAATTCAGTGTGTGTGTGTGTCTGTATGCATCTGGGGTGTTCATGTTTAAATCACTGTTTCTGTGAGTAAAATTCCTGAAGTAAGGGTTAGTCACATATAATCTTTCCTAAAGGGTATGCATGCATTTCTGCATGATTCAGTTTACATTTTAACAACTTTATGTACCTCACAAATGCATTCTTTATATTCTCTCAACAGTGAGATAGTAAAGAAATGATTCTGTATTTGATAATTTGGGGGCAATTTCCAACATTTTAACTGGGCTCATACCTTTTTCCAGAGTGAATGTAAAGTAGCAAAGTTCCGTGATTATGAAGAAAAACTCATTGTTTCTGCCTGGTATAATAAGGTGAGTTGAAGGCCAGTGATGGGATGTCTACAACAGTGTTTACCAATCTTTTGGGGCCAGGAACAATAGAAGGAAATATATTTTATGCCATACCAGGATATAATGTGTTTTTTATAACAGTGAACTATGCACTGCACTCAGATCTTTTCTTTCATATTCTGTTTCTTTAAATGTTGGTCCTAATTCATTAAATTGATTGCATGACTCATCAACCTTTAGCTGATATACTTTAAGTGCAAGTACTATTAATAGATATTTTAAAAATTGCCTTATTTGAGCTGAAACATTAAATTTGTATTCCTAAAGGGTTTCTAAAGAAGTGTGAATATCTGCATAATGTAAAATTCTTCAGAGATAATTTTCAGTAATTGTCTATCTGTTCTACTAAGAAGAAAATAGCATAAAGTAATTTGAAATGTGTTTGATTTTGACATCCTTAACAGCAGGAGGATGTTTTCATGATGTATGCACTTCTTTTGAGCTGTTCTGATTAATCAGAATTAATAGTAATTTAGCCATTTCTATCCTTATCTGTCATTTAATGTGAGGGATCATTAATTTATAGGCACCCACCTGTGGATGCTGTGCTTCATCACATAGCACTGGTTGTCCTTCTGTGACTAGTCATCATGTCTCCATTCTTGTTCTTTTATGCCACTGTTTTTTTTTTTTTTGGTAGGAATGGGGTTTGAATTCAGGGCTTCATACTTGCAAAGCAGGTACTCTTCTTCTTGAGTCATACCTCAAATCCATTTTGCTCTGGTTATTTTGGAGATGGGGGTCTTGCAGACTATTTGCCTGGGCTGGCCTCTTCCCAATCTCAGCTTCTCACATAGCTAAGATCATAGGCATGAACCACCAGCACCCAGCTCCACCTTTTTTCTTTTGTCTGTTCTTACCCTTCTTTATATAGTAAAAAAAATCTGGCTTAATTTAGATGGGCCTTGAGGGAAATTTCTGTAAGGGATTTCCCAGAACTGTCTCTTTTGAATTATCTATTCTGAATGAGATCAGGGATTGTGTGTTATTTTCTTCGTTGCTCTTGGTCTCTTGATACCTAAGCCATTGTAAGTATTACAGCAAAATAATACACTATTCGTTTTTCAGTCTTTTATTTGTTGAACATCTATTACATTCTGTGTACTATATTAGCTACTAGTGATGCTAAGTTCAATACAATTGTGTTGTTATAAGATATAGTGAGAGAGTAATGCCTTCCCTTATAAGAAAACCAGCTGTCAAAACTAAATTGTCATGTGTCAGTATGTCCAGGGACCACACTTCAAGAACCATTGATGTAAGTTTCGCTCTGTGTTATGTCTGCTCATAGTTGGTGGACTAGCGACCCTAACAAAAATAAGCTTTGGAACATCTTCCTATTGCTGTCATAAACCTAATTCTGACATGTTATTTTAAACTACTGTTATTAATGATTTCAAGTTTAGTGGATTAAAACAGAGAAACTAGGTTTTGTTCCTTCTTAATAGAACTGACATAATCGGTTTTTGAATCTTTGTTTTCTTCTATTCAAATGAGGAAAACAGATTTCTAGGATTGTTTTGAGGATTACACTAATGACTTTATTTATGTGAAAATTAATTTACAAACTAAATGTTTAGCCATATTATCTATGGATTTTTTTCCTTTGTTCAGAGTTTAGCATTCCAGAAACTTGGGATGGAGTCTAGGCTTGTGAGCAGCAGTGGTGCTTGCAAAGACAGTGGTCCGTGTACTCCTGCCCGGTCCTTCTTAGCACAGCAGCGGCACATCACCAACACTCGAAGAAATCTCTCTGTTAAAGTTCCTGCCACAACATCTGATTAAACAGCAAAAGAAAACAAACAAACAGAAGTGCCCTTAAAATGTTTTGTACCTTTCAGCTAAATACCAGACTGAAAAAAAAAAGTTAAGATGCTTAATATCAGCTATTTTAAATGCATCAAATTAATTTTGCCAGCCGACTTTGAGTATAGAAAGAGTATAGAATTAGAATTAGCTAACTCTTTGGGAAGAGCATATTTGAATAACTGGAAGATGTAGTTAAGTACACATCTCAAACATTTGTCTTTCAAGAATATTATGTCAAATCAACTGTACATTTTAGTTTAATGTTTAATGTTTTCAGTTGTACGAGTAACTTGAGTAATTTGCAACTTTTAATATAATATGTAATTTTAAAATATAGTTAGATTTGTTTTATGGTTTTTGATCCATATAAAAATAGTCTTGGGGCTGGTGGAATGGCTCAAGTGGTAGAGTGTCTGCCTAGTAAGCATGAAACCCTGAGTACTTCAAACCCCAGTACTGCCAAAAAAAATTAAAATAAAAATAGTCTTGAGGCAGGCAAATGGAGATAATAATACAAGGGTGATTTATTTGGCTTTATATATCTAAGGTTTTACTTCTATCTATTCTGTCATTGAATGGGTATATTTTGTCATGCTATGGAAGATATAATGTGTGAAAAATTTGGCCATTGAAATGACTTTGCCATAGTGAAAGTGACTAATTAGAAATTTTGCAGATTTTGAAGAGGTCATAGTTCTCATATATACCTGCTACAAACAAGGGCCTCTGGAGAGCTTGATTGCAATGCTAAGGGTACAAACTGACCTTTGTAATAGGTGCCTTTCTGATAGAAAGCAAGCGAAAAATACACTTTGTGTGAGATATTCATGTACTTTTCAATGTATTAATGAGAATTCAGTTATTCCTTTTAAGCATAAAATTGTCATGGCTTCTGCTTAAAAAGCATATGACAGTATAATAGTTTTGCCTCTTCATTGAAAAAGAGATGTTGTAGTGATGAAGCAACTTACTATCAGTTTGATTTTTGTTTACATATTATAGAGTTTGTCTTGGGGTAGTTTGTGGTATTCGGTCATTTTAGCCCAAAGTTCTCATTTTCAAAGGTGTTACTTTCTAATTTTTTGGGCCATTTTTAAAAGTCACAGTATTTGAATGTTAGTTATGTTAAAGTTGGCTTCCTTGAATGCACCAGTCACATTTCTAACACTCAGTAGTTTTTTGTGACTAGTGGCTACTGTATTGGGCAGTGCAGATTCAGAATATTTCCCTAATTACAGAGAATTCTATTGGTCAGTGCTACACTTAATTTTTTATAACTTGGAAATGTTCTTTGAATAGCCCACAAAAATAAAAGCAGCATCAGAACTATTATAGATATAAAGAGGAGTTGAATTGTGACATAACTAGTATCTTAGATTCCATATAATTGAACACCATATGTTGTGGCAACCATAGTTAGCTTTTCCAGTGCTAGACATAATCAGCAGTATGTCTTGCCTAAAGATCAGCAAGCTTTCTATGAAGGAACAGATAGTAAATATTTTAGGCTGTGCGGACTACATGATCTTTGTCATGGGTACTCAGCTTTGTCCTTATAGCATGAAAGAAGCCATATAAAATATGTAAACTAAATGGGCATGGCTGTAGTTCAGTAAGATTTTATTTACAGCAACAGGTAAGCCAGATTTGGCTGGCAAGCTGTAGACCGGTGGTCTAGATTTTATTCTTAGCCTGTATTTTCATATGTAAGTATTGTCTCATTTGCAGTGTTAATCGTTTGGATATTTGGTTTTAAATTCTTGCCCAGTAATTTTTTTTAATCACTAAAGATACAAGAATTTCATTCTGCATTTGAGTCTCTTGAGATTCGGGAGTATCTGTTAAGATTTTTGGGTTTATCAGGGTTACTTCTGTTGACTACCTCTTAGATTTTGATGTTTGTTAAATCAACAATTATATTGTTGGTTTGCATTTTTGAGTATTCTTGTAGTTTCTGCTTGCCTGTGACTTTTGGTGAAATGAAGTTAGACTTTGAAAATATTTTAGCATGCTACTTAACATTTTCTAAATATTATGGCATTTGTTATGTTTGGTCAATAAAGACATCTTTCCCTTTGGTGTTTCTACTTGCTTATAAATGAGATTTTACAAGCTCTTTAAGCTTCATTTTAATGAAATTTATTGTAAAATGTCAACTTCAGTAAATTAGTGTTTTCCAGTTTGATTGCTGATAAATTTTCAGTTATACTTGGAATTTCTAAATAATTCATGTAATTTATGAATAAAGACATGAGGTTAGATTCTTTTTTTCTTCATAGAGAAAAAGCAAGTTTTCTGATTTTTTCGTTTTTCTAGTTGATAAATAAAATTTAAAATGTTTGATATATAAGTATTTATACAAGATTATGTAAAGTTCTGTATTATCATAATTAATCATACAGAATTCAGGAACTGATCAGAAGTGAGATTCTTGTCCACATCTGGTTAATATGACATTGACACCCTGTGGGTGGTAAAGCATTATAAATATTTCATCAGGAACCATGAGTTACACACATCTGTGTTATAAGGGTGGCTTGAATGCTTATGCTGTGGAAGAGATAATTCAACTTTTATCTATTTGATAGGAAATTGAATATCCCAGTGATTATAAAGTCAGACCACAGACCAATTTGGAAATGATCTTAATTTTGAGCATTTGCTTTAAGATGATTATTTCTCTTTTTAAAGTGTATACATATGACAGTGCTGTTTATCCTGAAGTTAACTTAATGTATTGAGAAATGTTTGAAGTTCCTTATATTTTTTAATGAATAAGGCTAATTACGATTTATTATAGATTAAGAATGTCCCATCTAGCAATATTAAACTGAGTATCTCCATGAAGATATCACTTTTGATAACTGGAGTGCTGATTTGAATTTAGAATGCTTCCACAACCACACCTGTTTCTGTGTAGTGCACATCTGGCAGTCTGGGGGTAGGTGCAGCTTTTAAGCCAGAGTACTATATGTATTAGGTTCTCACTGTGTATGTTTAATGAAAAACATTCCTGTGTAAAAATACGTGTATGTGATTGTATGCATAAATTCTTATTGTGAAACTGTGCATTGCAAAAAAGTAACTTGGAAATTGTAAAGCACAAACCATAAAAGGGGGAAAAAAAAAACTAATGTGGAGTAATTAAACTTGAGGTAGCTTGAATGTAATTTTAGTTTATAAAACGTCCTATTTTCTATGGTAAAGACTTTGACATGAAAAATAGAAGCAATACTTGATTTATTTTTGTAAGTATTTAGGATATTATTTTAAATAAATGATTGTTCAATAATATAGTTGTGAAATGTTTTAAGCAAATAAACTTTCTGCTTCTGTGCCTGTTAGGTGTGTTTTTAGTGGGTACAAATACATATTTATTTGCTGCTTTTTTTTTTTCATTGTGCTGGGAGTCTATTGTGGCAGTTACAAAAGTTCTTACAATATATCATACTTGAATTCACCCAAAGAACTAAAACTAGGTTGGTAAAAATAATTGCATTAATTCTTCTAATTTTGTTTCTCCTTTGAATTTTTTGTAAGTGAAAAGGTAGATAAAAGTAGTGTTTTGGTTGCCCTTTAATGTCTCTTAATTTTACCACTAAAATGTAGGCTTGTTTCATCAATGTGGTATCCACAGCATTGATTCTACTACTGTCTTAATATGCTTAAATTCTTCCCTTTGTAATAAAACCCCATACTTTAGATTGTTACATTACTTTCCAGAGAGGAAAAATCCTCAAAACTTTACCTCTCAGACTCCCTTGTAACCAGGTGGGAGAGTCTTACAACTAAATTCTGGCTAATCAAATGTAAATAATAATGTGCTCATAGCAAAAGAATGGGCATTCTTTCCCTAATCCTTCCTCATAGTCTAGAAAAGCATGTACCTGAGGCAACCTTTAGAGTTGAACAATAAAAAGAAGGAACTTGGATTCCAGAAACCACTATTTAACCACATCAGTTGTGACTTCTAGCCCTGATTTCTTTTATTTATGTTCTTTCAAAAAAAAAAAAAAACCAAACTTTTCCAACCTAATATTTCCCATTCTATACAGATGATTTGTCAAAATGGGTTTTGAAATTAATTTTTAGAAAAACCCAGGAGTTACAAGCCCACAGTCTTGGAACACATCTTAGAGAAGTTGAGTTCCAAATTATAATTTCAGTTGTTAATGGCTGTAATGATTACATAAATGAAGTTAATGCTGAAGATACATAAGATAGAGGCAAAAGTGAAGTTATATCTCACTTTAATAATCCCCCAAACCATTGTACAAATTTAATTTTACAAACTCCACAGGAAGTGTCTCAAAAGTATGATATTTGCATCTTACTCACTAAGATTGCTGAAAGTCGCCCTGGCCATCATGATGGCTGACAGTCACATTTAATATTTAAGTGCAAATTTTAGCTTCTTAATGTTGTGCTCCCTCAGACATTTTAACCACATTTGAAATGCTCCACAGCTACACATGGCTGAGTGACTACAGTATTAGACAATGCAGACAGTAGTGATACCGGACTGGATTGTTGTTCCCTGGGTTTGTGTCCTGGTGCAGTCAACAATTGAAGGCGCTGGACAAGGAGTTGAGAGTTAAAGCAAGTTCATGCCAGACCAGGAGTTAAGAGTAAAGCAAGCACAAAGTTTGTTGAAAGGACAGCAGAGCACCCTAATGGGTGGGACTTAGTGTTAGAGCTAAGCCAAAGGATGGCTGAAGATTTAATAGAGATTTAATAGGGCCTTATTTGGGGCATTTTCCACTACTCTACTTTGAATCTGTAGCTATAATTGGCTGCCTAATTAATTTCTTACTTCACCTAGCCATCTGGTTGCCTCCATCCTTATTGGACTGGACATTCCAAGTGGGTCTCCTTAGTTCATCCTGTCCTTGAAACCTGTCATGTACATTTTATGACTATTCATTATTGTGGTGAGTCTCCCTTTTTATCTTGGGAAGTCTACCCAACTCATCCTGGCATTGGGGCCCACTACCCGCATTGTGCCACTGCTTCTTGTTACTTTGGTGAAAAGCTTGAGAAGCCCATTGTTTCCCAGGCCCCTTTAGATG